ATGTCAGATGGGTGGTTTACTTCTGCTTGAAGTAATGTGACAGGTTGCACTTAGGCACCATTAGGGTGGCCGGGTGATCTAGACTTAGTTGTTAGGTAAATTTATATAATTGTAGCAATTGCAAAAATCTTAATAAAGTACTAGCGTAACTGTCTATAGTTCAAAAAAAAAAATATACAATAAAAATCTATATAAATTTAAAAATAATCTAAAAACTATTTAGAATAATTTTATTAAACACCATTTTTAAATAACACAAATATATAAATTGTTGATCATTTTTGTATTTATTTATTTTCTTGTTTATATTTTTTTTTTCAGATGTTAATAGTTAATAAGCCACTGTAGCTTTCTTGGTAGCATGTTTTTATCATTGCTGCTATTATTGTTTCATCACTAGCACATTTTAATTATTCTTAGTAAATTTGTAACTATAATAATTGTTAAGTTCTATAACAGAATTTTTGTATGCTATTTTTGGATCTGAAAAGTTGTAAGTTTAGGTTTTGTGTAATTTTCATAATTTTTATCAATTTTTACATAATATTCAAATAAATTATTGAAAATACAAGGCCAGATTCTTTTTTTATATTTAGTTTATTAAGCAAAGTTTATTTAATAATATTTTTGTATATTGTTATTTTAAGCTAAAACACTTTAATATAATTATCTATATTCTTATTTTCACTTATCTATCTATATTCTTTTGTCTGTTTACATTCTTATTTCTACTTGCCCATCTGCATTCACATTTCTATCTGTTTACTTCTACTTGTCTATTCTTAAGTTACTTTTCAAGACTATGCCAGGTAACATTTTCTAAACTATTTAAAATGTTATATTAAGATTTACTGCCATATTATTACTGTTAAAATTGTTTGAATATTACAGGTTTGGCTATTAATTTTGAACATGCCTACTTTTAAATACTTGTTAGTTGATTTTTATTATTTAGATTGAGTTGTTCTTAATAAGAGTATTTGAAATTGATGGCCAAAATATGTATTTATTATATAATTTAAGATGTTTCAAATAGTTTAAATAACATTGCTACTGTTTAATTGTATCTGTTTTGTTTGCTAATAGATTTTGCAACTGATTATCTTAAGATAATATAATTGATAAATTTTGTTGGCATAATTATAAATTAATTTAATACTATAGTTGGTGTTTTGATTAGAATAAAGTAAGTAATTTATATGTGATTAGATTTTTCATATAGCTAAAAACAGAAACTATATTATAGCAAACATGACTTATTGTAGTTATAAAGGTTGAAGATATTGTTGAAATTCTTTGTAGTTGTAATACTATCAGTTAGGTTAAAGTAAAAAGCCTATGTTATAACATGGTACTATAATTTTTAACTAAGAGAAAAGATTATTTTCATAGTTAAATTAAAATTTGATAACTGAATTCAATGTAACATACTGCAAAGCAAATATTTATTTTGTTAAACATTACCTATAATTAAAAAAATTACTTTTTGTACATTATTAAAATTTTTTCTTAATCTGGTACATATATATTATATAAGTTATTTCTTATTAGAGGGTTGGTATTTAATAGCAATTTTTATATTTATAATAAAATATAGCATTTATATAAATTATAATATATATACCAAATTATGCTAGTTATAAGTTAACTTTCTTAATCTATTTTAATAAAATACCATTTCACTAAAACTATAATACTAACAATTCATTTTCAAGAAAAGAACTTGTTAGTAAAAAAGCCTATTATTATATATAATATTAAGAAATTAGACTGTTAGAAAATTGCTTAATTATTTAGTAAAAATTTCTATCAGTAAAATGAGTTATTAGAAATATTATATAAGAAAATAAGATTCAGAAAAATAAAAAACAACAAATTATAAAATATATGTATATAAGTCTTAAATTCATTAATCAAAAATTTTTTTTTATCTTGGTAATCTTTTCTTTATAATAAAGATATCTGAAGTAATTCTTTAATTATATCATATTTTGTGTTGTTTTTTCTAATTTATTATAATTTGTTGTATTCATATAGTACACATATTTATTTATTTGAAGTTGTGTCATAATTATAAATTAATTTTATATAATAATTATAAAATTAATTTTATAAGAATTATGTAAAAGTTAGTAAATTAATTTACAGATATTTTAATAACAAATCAAATACTATAAATTTTTTATTTAAATTAAAAAAATTTTATTTAAATATTTTCTTTTATAAAATATCTTTTAATACTGTTATAATTGACTAATTTAGAATCATTTGCAGTATAGATAATAATATTAATAAAATATATTATTAATCAAATATTTTAGAATACATGTTACCTGTATTTCAAAAGATTCTAAATTATCAAACATTAATTCAAACTCTGCACCAAATTTATCTTCATCAAATTCTTCAATTTCATTGCTATTCAATTTTTCATCTAAATTATTATCATTATTAATATTTTCTTTATTATTATTTGACCCAATATTATTTAAAGTTATTAAATTTTTTATCTCAAAGTCTTGATCTTTAACTTTGGAATCAACAAAATCTTCAGATTTGTTTAAATTATCAAAATCTTCTTTCTTATTATCTTTAGAAAATAAATCAATATTCTGAAAAACTATTTGTATTTTATTTTTGTTAATTTCAATTTATAAAAATGTAATTCTTGTTTTGTATTTAATATTAAATAAGAATTATTTTTATTATTGATTCTAAATTTCTTGTTTCCAACTTGTTACATCAATCTCTCAAAATCTATTCACAAGGTAACCATATATGCTCACAATTTGCTGCATAAAGATATATTGAAAATAGTTTAACAGCTAAAGAAGAAAATGAACTTAATTTTATCTTTAATACCATCATCTGTAGTTTTCTATCATCAAGTTGGACTATTAACAGATAATATATAAGATTCATTATAAGGTTCTTTATTGCAAACATATTTATGTAATTGTGCTTTTAATATCTTTAAATCATTTTTTTAATTTTTAATTTAACTATTCTAGTTTATAAATAGTCTGCAATTTTAGCTACTCAAGAAAATTGTAATTGTTTTATTCTAGCACCTATAATTTTTAAATAAAAACTTAAATAGATAATTACTATTTGTACATAGTGTTTGTATACAGATATATATAAAAATTGTTTTTAAGTTTTAAAAAATTTAGCATAAATTATAATTTTTTCTAATCTTAAGCTAATATTAAATTAGATTTATTTTTTGGCTTACTTGTAAATTAATTAATTAATACTCATATATAAACATCATATATAAACTAATAAATTTTCTAATAAATTTAATAAATTAAAAATGATCCTTAATATTTAGAGTATAAATAATATACTAATAGATATTCATCATAGTCAAATATACAAAAACATTTATTAAAAATTAAAGTATATTTTCAATAATCATTAAATGCTAATTCTGAAAAATATTTTTAATAGCAATAGCTAATTTAATATAATCTAAATAATAGTTAGCCAAATTATCTGTTTTGCTTTTAAGACATATAATAGTATTACTAATTGGTTTTAAAACATTAGAAATATTTAAGATATAGTTAAAAAATTCATAAGATTTTTTATACATTTTGATAATTTTTTCAGTTTTGTTATTAAATAAATATACATTTTAATCTTAAATCTTTAAATACATTTATTAGAATAATTAAAATAATAAAATTATATAATAAATTTAAAATATGTTTACCTCTTCTAAAGATAGTTTGTGATGATATACTGATTAGATACATTTATATGCACTTGTTTAGCAGGTCTTGGTATATTTTTTTAATTAACTACCATATATATTTTTTATTTATAAATAAAAAATGTAATTGATGTGATAAACTAAAGAAGTTAATGATCATAGAGCATTGATAAAGAAATTTTTTAGCAAATTTATGCTTTAAAATATCATTTGAAATTAGATTCAAACAATACACAATACAGCATGAATTTAAAATATGTAAATATTTTTTTAGAAATTAATCATTATACAACTGTATAATTTGAATAACTATCAGTTACTATAGCTTCAACTTATGCACATCAAGTTTGTCAAATATTTTTTGAATACAATCTTGTAATATTTTACTAATATGGTACTGATTAGATAAATCAACTAATTTTCAAAGATATTTTTGTTCAGTAAATGTATAAATTACAAAGTTTCATAATAATTTTTAATTAAATCTGTCTATCTGTCTAAACTAAAAATAAGTAAATAGTTTATAGAAGAAATAACTATTAATATATACTATAAATAATTAAATTATAAATTTATAAATTAAATTAATAATTAATAATTAATATCAAGAGTTAAATTGTTTATTTTTTCTAAAATATTTCTAATACTTTGATTAACTTTAATTATTTTAATATTTAATAATCAACTTGCAAATAATTGTCTTAATGGTAGTTGATATCTAGACTGTAATTCTTGCAATGCATTAATAAAATATGGATTGCTAATAATGTGCAAAAGTATATTGCATACTACAAATGCTTTAATTAAAGCTAAAATTAATATTATTTTTATGTTGTAAAATTAGTTTGTTGCTTTCTAAAAACTCAAATAATAATACTTAATTACCTGCAAGTTTATACTTTCTTTTACTTTGTTCAATACTGGGTACAAGTTTCTGAGATACTGCCTGACTACAACCTTGTTAATTAGAAATAATTTGAGTATAAAAATCTATAAAATTCTTATTTTAATTAGGACAGTCTAATGCTAAATTTTCTTCAAATCTACAGGTTTAGCATGACCCAAAATGTTTCATATTCCTTATACTGTTCTGAACAATGACTTTTTACAGAAACACCTTTGTCAAAAAAATTCTAAACTCCTGCAAGTGGTCATATAGCAGATTTTTTTGAACAGGTTCTTGAAAATTTTTACCTTAAGAATTTTT